AGTTTAACATTGAATCACATTAGAAATTCTTATCAGGATTATTTCTAAACTAATTCTCATTCAGTTTTCGATGATTTAAACCGAATAAAAGTGGTGGAAGATAAATTTGTTGCGACACAAGATTCTCGTCCGGGGGCAAATATCGTTTCCGTTGTACGCTCAGTTCATTAGAGGTGATCTCGAGTCGCCCGAGGTCGCGATAACAAGCCTCGTAGCAGATTTCGTTTGCCGAACGAATTTTCGCCAGGTGGCCACGTTCATTAGACCCATGGAAGAGCACAGGGGCTCTATTGTTCCCGTTAGTCGATCTTCGAAACTGTTCAAGGATCCTTCAGATCGCGTTCCAGTTGCGTTTCGATCGTACAACCATTTCCGGACTCTTACGAACAAGACGTCTCGCGGTTACGTTGGAAAATTCGTTTGCCTAGCGCAAGTAAAATGTGCATGAAATTCGATGCCGGCCATCAGGTGTCTCGCGTTCGTCGTCGCGTGCGTTAACTTCCTCGGGATCGCCCTTGCGGACACCGCAGTCGATGTGCCGAGAACTTTGTCAAGGTCTAAAAGATACCTGGTCTTCCCGGAGGGTAGCAATGTACAGGTAAAACAATCTTCTTCATATCGACTTTATTTAGGTGAACAGAGGAGGTAAAAAATATATATTATTTTTAACGTTAGGAAAGTCACGTGACTGGCCCCTTAATGCCGGTTTAACACTAGAAAGACTGAAACTTAGTATATACCTATATTGCCCAAAGCAGTAAAAATGACTGCATTGTGAAAGAATAATNTTACTTGAATGAAATTCTATTATTATATAAGAGAAAAGAGTTAATATTTTTGCTATCAATAGCTAGTTTGGTGTTTGACGGTGGGAGCGCTCGGTGAAGAGGAGGCAGCGGTTTTAGGAATGACGGCTGCGTTGGCGTGGGAGTTGCCGAGCAAAGCAGAGCCGAAGCTATCGGAACTGCTTCATCGCAGTAGCAGAAGCGTCGTGTTCCCGAAAATAGAGGCTTTGCTACAATCGTAAGTAAACCAATTTACCGCGGGAGTCTCTAGGAGTTTCGATCTTTCTTTCGGTCGAGGGAACAGCCACCCTGTCTGCTGTTTCGTTTACTAAAAGTTTCCAACAAGTTTAAAGGGAATCCGATCTTGGCTTCTTCATCGCTACTGACGAAGACGAATCAAAGCTGCGATTCCTCGCGCGCAAGAAACCATCGACTCGCCATCGCTCGTTTAATACAAATTTAAATTCCAGCGATTTATTATATAATCGAACTGTCTGATTGTTCATTTATTTGTACTACTTGAAACGTAGAATTCGCAGAGGAAATTGACCGGGCTTGGGGAACGGCGCGTGAAATCGCGATGTAAGGAAGATGGAAACTTAGAAATTCGCCTGTGTTCCACATTCTTTGTTTCGTTTTTTTATCTCGACGAAAGCTTGCACTCCATTCGGGAGCGCGATGTAACATGCAAATGGAGCCCTTTTTTTTTTTTCCTCGCCCGGCACATGCAAATGCGTGCCACGGCAGGCGCAGGAAATTTTCATGCGAAACGTGCGGGAATAACGAAACACGAAGACAGGTTTGATTCCGTTACACTTATTCCTGTTAACCCGTTTCGTTCACGGCCGCGCAGTGACCCGACCGACATATTATTATTATTA